ACTACTACTACTACTACTACTACTACTACTACTACTACTACTACTACAGCGTCTGCGTCCGCGTCCGCGTCCACGTCTGCGTCTGCGTCCGCGTCTGCGTCTGCTTCTGCTTCTGCTGCTGCTGCTGCTCCTGCTCCTGCTGCTCCTGCTCCTGCTACAGCTTCTGCTGCTCCTGCTCCTGCTACTGCTAAGCTACTACCACTTCTTGTTACTGTTGACTACTACCACGACCTAAGGTACCAAAAGCAAAAAAGAAAAACGCAACTGCAACGCCAAGACGCCAAGGTTCCCTTTCCATCATCACAATCACAACAGGAACAATGACTGAACACCCGCGCAAACACACAGGCGCACACGGGCGGGCTTGCACGTGACCCTATAAATGAGTTCTCCAATCCCTATCCCAAAATCCCTACTGGTAGCTAAGGGCATCGCTACTAGTAGCAAGTGCATCGCTACTAGTCACAAGAAGCTACTAGTAGCGGTGCCTGTTATCCCAGAAACGACTCTTCCCCTCCCCGTGATTGACCGCTCCTTCCGCCGTTCTCAAAACCGGACGGCAAGAGTATGCAACTCTCAGACATAAGCAGCGGAGGCCATTTAATTCGCATTACTGAGCCGCAAGACTGGGACATCCCCCTGCTCTCTGCGTTTTTAGCGAACTAGTCCGTGAAAGACATGTCCACTTCAAATCACCATCATCCTCCCTTCAATCCATGCGCCGGGTTCACGCTCGACACTTCACCCGCGTCGTGTCCTGGGATTGGACTGGCTGGTCGACGCAATCAGTTCGTGTGAGAGCTGAGTCGCAACAGGTCCAGTCGACGACCCAAGTCCAAACCTCCTGAGAACCTCGTTGTCATTGAGTCGTTTTGTACGACCAGCTCCAGTGAGGTCAAACTCACCGAGTAAGACGCGTCTGTCTGGTGCCAAATACTTAATTGTCATGCAATGTTCATCGTCAACGTCGTTAACACCAATCGAACACCGAACACCGCAGTCTCTGAAGAATACGTTCCCCACTGGGCTGCCGCACATCTATAAGATTTGAAGGCACTCCATTCAGTAAGAAGCGGCAGTTGCGCCCCACAATTTCCTGAACCTGAGACTTGCGGTCTCGAGTCTCGAGTCCTAAAAATAAGGTGCTCAAAGCTCTGAAGTGATCGACGGAGAAATATAACTAAAGCTAATAGCCTCTAACTCTAACTCCACAGAACACAGGACACTAAAACCATCCAGGACGTCTTCCTTCAAATGTCAATTAACACACTGGATTATTAAAGCAACAAAAACATGAACATGAATGGTGCGTAACAGCGACGAGAGTTCAGAATATGACAAGCCAGTGCAGCCCCAAGCATCCCCAGGCAAGTAATTATGCATTTGTTCAGTGGCTCTATATATCATGTGGAGAAGGGCTTGGTCCATTGTACGAGGTCTAAGAACCTAACAACAGGCTGTATTATCATCAACAAATGAAACCACTTCTTTTTTGCACTTCTTCAGCTTTTGGTCTAGCCAGTAGCCTCCACAAACTTAAAAAAAGAATGAGCAACATTGACTTTGCTTCGGAAGGCCAGCCTGTTGACGTGGCCAGGAGGTGGTCTCAACCCAGCAATCTCTAAATGTCGAACGTGCCATGAAGCTTAGTTCTTACGTATCGATTTCCTTCGATTTCTAGTCTACACTCTGGCAATCTGTGGCACATCTTCGGTTGAATCCGTACGAATCATCCCTCCAGCCGACCGGAGCCTACCACCATCTACCTGGCCCAAGGGGCAGAGTAGCCCGTGAGCTCCGTAAAGCCGGCGGAGCAAGCGATCAACGGGCAGTCCGCCTTGGACCTCGGACCCCAGGGCACCGCCGCCGCGGGGTGGACCCGGGTCAGACGTCTTGGGGTGGACCGGCGGCTCGGAGGAAACGGCACTCCGAGACGAGTCCACAGATGTTTCTGTTGGAAGAAAGGGCTCCATGGTGTTATGGAGCCAAAAAACAGGAGGAAGTTGCTGGAGGGGCCAGCGTCAAGCTTCCCATCACCTGGCAGATTTGGAAGGGAAACCAAGCTTGCTGAAGAATGCGTTTGCATGATTTTAAATAGTCTCATCCACTATAAATGCAGCGACTTGGCATCCAAAATGCTGTTGCTCAAATGGATTTATTAGTTTATATTTATATTATATATATAACTATAACTACAGAATAATATGCAAAGCGCTAAGCGACTGCTAAGCATAGGGAGAGCGGAGCAGAGGAACATCATGGAACATCCTTCCTGTTCGCCGTGCAGCTTGAGACCTGGAAGCTTTGCCTGACGCAGCCTGACCGACCAGCCTGACCGATGGCCACATGGTTTCTTCAAAGAATCTTCTTGGCCACTTGGATCCAGTATCTTCGAACCAGCGAACTTTTCAGGGTTGAATCTTCAGTTCTTTTCTGGTCATAAAAAATGGATGGGGTGATTAAATGGAGTTGATATGATTTGATTCGGTCACCCATCCAGGCTCATGTATATAGTCATGTATAATGATCATTGATACATTACCAAAAAAACAATGATGACAAGTATAAGAATCATGAAGAATCCACAACCCCAAACCGCCCTCCAAAGTCTATTCCCAGCTCGCCCCGTCCTCCAGCCGTGTCCATACGGGTCCCCGGCGGATCCGCGAGGGTGACGGAGAAGCCCAACTCATACCTCGTCAGCTCGATGAACGGGGCTGGCCTTACTAACGGGGCTCCTGGCATCGCTACTAGTAACAAGCGACAACGGGGCTCCTGGCCTTACTACGAACGGAGCATTCTTACTAGTAGCAAGAAGCGGCCTATCGGCGTCTCCAAACGCTACTAGAGGCTGTTTGGCTGTAAGTGATGACATAGGATTTCCGAAGCATGGTCTTTCTGGGTATGTCTGGTCTACAAAGAGCGCAACCGCCACATGCAACTCATGATCCATTTCAAGGTACTGGTTGAAAATCGGCACTGATTCTTTCTCAGAATCTTCCGGTGCATTTCTGGTAAAGCCGCCAGGCTCTCTGTCTTGCTACGGCCCTAATGCATAGGTGTTCCTATACAGAAGTTCTTGGCCTCAGTAGGTGAGCTCCTAGGAGGAAGCTAAGGACGGGTTTGTTGCACTGGGTTCAAACTAGCAGGTGAAACTGTGGTTTTTGGAGGTTTCTTGGAAGGACTGGTTAAGACTCGACTTGAAGATTTGAGCTCATTTTTGGGCGGAATGAAGATTGTGGATTCCAACTTTCTGTGTAAAGTGCTGTGATTATGTTTATACTAGTTACTATTCTATATTACTATATTACTGTCACTGGAAGGTTTGCATCAGGGCCAGCCCAAACCAAAGACCTGGCTACTCCGGTGAGAAGTAACAGGCCCATTCATTCAAACACGGCAATATGATCTCAGACATTCGTAATAAAACGATGAATACATGACCCTGACCCTGACCAGCAAGCTGAGTAACAAGTCAAACATGTGACAAGAAAAACGGGACAGAGTGGGCCCAAAAACGAGCGCGTACAACAGTAACCACTAGGACCAAGTGGGTCTCCACGGCGCCAAGATCCCGATGCGGCGCCCACCAAGCTGGCCTTTAGAAGCCCTGATGACACAGAGGTTTGAGGGGTCAAAATCATCGAGCCCCCTTGGGCCATTCATGAAGTGGGTTTGGGGGGCAACGCGGCAACACTAGCTCCTAATTGTTCCAAGCCATTCCTCACCTGTTGTCTTTGTGGTGGTGTTGGTGACGATTGCATGGGATAGTCCACATTGCCACGTACTTCTCGCAAAACCGCGTTCTTTTTTCGAACATACCCCCGAAAACGGCCCAGGCGCGCATGTCTGTGATTTTTGCGACCCCTGGGCCAGCGCACAGCTCCTCAATGAAGAAGGTGTCAATCACATTCTGCAGCTCGGTGCTGCATCTAGTGTTCCAGCGCAAAGGTCCATGGGAGGACTCCTCCGCTTTGAACCCCGCCCAGACGGAGGTTCGCTTTCGGGTGAGTTCGCAGGAAGAACCGGGAGGTGAGGGGTGTTTGGTTGAGCGTGCAAAATTAAAACTATACTTACCAGGAGTCACAAAAGGGTGGTTTTGAGTCCCCAGGTGAGTGGAAACTCCACCCCTATCCTCCAATACACACCCCTTTGTATCTGCTGCTATATGATGTATATGTATAACATTAAAATACTTATTAGGATATAATGTTAACCTTCCCTTAATAAACCATGCATCAAAAAAAAAGCTATCTGTTGCAATCTTTTTGCCCGCCAGAATTTTGCAATACTACCTTTAATTGCGCCAACATCCAACCCCCAAAATGGATAAACCTCCATAAACATGTTTATTAATCAATGTTAAACCACATCAATAATAAAGCTCTTTTTTGCCTGCCAGAAATTTGCAATACTACTTCTAATTGCGCCAACAGAATGCTTTCAGAATGAAAGCAAAATGACAGCAAATGCAAGCAGACTGACAGCAAATGCAAGCAGAATGAAAGCAAATGCAAGCAAGCAGAATGAAGCAGAATGAAAGCAAATGCAAGCAGAAGGAAAGCAGAATGAAAGCAAAATG